AGAGAGAGGAGAGAGAGAGAGAGAGAGAGGCCTTAAATAGGCCTTGATATTTTTTGAGGTGGCCTTTTCTTTTTTTTTAAGGGGTTGGCACTAGGCAGACGCCTAGACCCCCCTTGAGCCCACCCAGGTGGGCACCTAGGAACATTTCCCGCATAGGGCACTTGCTTATGCCCATGTTAGGCTTTTTTTGTCTTGGCTGCCTATATATATATATTTATATGGATAAAGAGCGAGGGAGGGAGGGATGGAGAGTGTCTATCATATTTCACTGGAGGGATTGAGGGAGGGAGGATTTTGGAATTTTCTTTGCTTTGGCATTTAGGTTTGTAATTGTAGGACTATCCAAAACTGAAAGATTGAGCTGTTCAAGCTTCTCTATGTGATACATGATACATTTTATTCCATGATGGAGTAGGTTATGTTTGTGAAGCAGAAGTACCGATAAATGCAAAAATCTTATGTAATACTAGGTTAAGTGTAGAAAATGATTTGAACATGAGAACATTGCTGAGGCACAGTATTTAAATCAATATGGTGAGACTATTTAGCCCAAAAAAAGTATAACCATTTTATGCCGAAAATGAAATGCTAAGATGTCAACATTATACTTTGACTTAGAGTGGTGTAAATGGAATATCTTGTCCTTAATTTCTATCTATCATCATATTCTGCTAGGGTTCTCCATTGTTCGGTATATTTTCTCATTTGAAGCTAGTTCCTGTCTTTGATCTGTCTGGTCTTGAAAGACGTGGAATGTATTATTTAATATCTTCTTTACTATTTGTGTTCGATCTGTGTGGCATTACTTGCTTTTTCCATGTCTTTGTTTTTGTACTAAAATCTTTTCAAATATGATGTCTTTTTATCTTCACTTTGTTTAGGTAATGGGAAGATTGGAAGGTGGACAAATTTATACTCCATTATACATTGCACGGGTTACTGCCATGGTTCGTGGGGCAGCAAGAGGGGTCACAGTTCCCACAAATCTATCAGCAGTTTGGAGCCGATTGCATCAATTATTGCAAGTAACTGATGGAGCTACTGGTGTCTTTGTTGAAGGTTCTTTTTTCCAGTCTTTATTTAATGGGTTGGTGAAGGATGGAGAAATCCTGGGATCACTTCGTGCGGGAGTAAACTGGACGCCGGCTGTACTTACTACCTATTCTCCATTTTATTTATCATCCTTTTATTTTCTTCCTACTACTGCCAGCATGTTGTAATACATTCTAATCATATGTTTTTCTCCTCATGTAACAGCTATTTGCTCTGGCGCAAAGTGAAAGTGTAGAGTCTTTCTTTTCACAGGTTAGTAGTGTGCATTTCATGCCTTTCTGTTTTGATGACTCAGTGGCTGTCATTGAAATAATGTTGGCATATGATTTTACAAGGATTCTGAAAACTATAATCATATTCCTCGCAGCACTTCTTTACTCATGCTCCAGAAGTAAATTGTGGATCTGCTTCTAACTATGCTGATTGTGTTTTATCATCTGATCGTAAATGTGACTTGCAGAAACTTGGTTACTGTGCACTGTCTTTTTTCTTGTTATTTTTGGTAAGCGGTCATTGTGATGTATTGGTCTTAACTGTTCCATGGGAAACTTGAAACAGGGATAATTACATATTCTTGAGAGAGAAAGCAGTAGAGCAAGAGAGAGTATATGAAGATGACAGTCATGATGAGTCAGAGAGCAGAAAGAGAAAAGTGATGAAGAGGGTAGAGAGAGATGATGACTAGGGCCACAGAGAGAGTGTGTGTGGGGAAAGGGAGAGCGAGAAAGAGGTCTAGAGCCTGAGATAAGAGAGGAGTGAGAATGTGCGCAAGAGCCTGAGAGAGGATATGGTGACAAGAAATGGATGTGATAGAGATCTGCAGGGAAAAACTTGGGTTTTGAGCAAGAGGGATCAAAGATAAAATACAGGGAAACAACGGCCATAATTAGAGTTTAGATATAGAAGAGAGCCAGGATGTGAGTGACAGGGGAAGAAGAAAGCAAGTGTGTGGGTAAGAGAGCTACAAGAGAAGATAGATCGGGCCAGAGAGTGAATATACAGATTTGTTGGCAGAGAGAGAGGAAATGCTATTTGGTGGCTGCTTGTGGATGGAAAATCTAGAGATGTTATGCCCATTGATGCAAAACTTAAAATTGGTGACCCATACTGATGTCTTGTTGTCATTCATGAATGCTTCATTTGTATCTTTTGTATCTTTTCACTAGTCGACAAGAAAGGTGTTTTGCAGTTGAAATTTCTTCTGTACTCTATTGTTCAGATTGTACAAGATAAGAATACTATCGATGGATCTAATCTCACTCACCAATCAATATGATCTTATGCAAGTCAGTGTCTTTTGGAGTTCTTTTTTATAGATCTCACTGCACATATTTGAAGATCTGAAAATAATTTTTGTTGTCTTTTAAATTATTGTCATGTTTCCTAAATCCATTCCTATGTCCTGCAGAACTCTTTTATCAACTATGATGTTCTCCACAAACTTTCAATCCCGCATCCTAGACAATACTTGCAGGTGTGTTAATGTACTTTCCAATATACATCATTTACTATGTGACTGATTAAAGGATTTGAAATTAACTGAAGAACTTCCTTCCATTAATGCAAATGAAATGTGTTAATGCAATCCAATTAGGTCCGATATCCAGAAGGCATACTACTAGAAACTGTGTTCATTCACTCTTCAATGATTGAGATGTTGAATGTTTCGACTGAAGATGCCATTGAACATGATAGCTGGTAAGAATTATCTTGCCTTTACTTGGTTATTCTCTGATATTATTGGCAAGTCTTCTTTCTTTTGTTTTCACATTATACTTCTATGGATCATTCAGCATCCTTTACTCCTGTAAGCCATAGAGTAATGAACTGAAATGAAAATGGCGTACTATATCTTGAATGAAATGAAAGCTGATCAATAATCTCCTAAATCGCAAAAAATATGCATATTTTTCTATGCTCAAATTCAATGACATATGGATGTTGCTGATTCATTGTTGCCACAGGTGTTTTTCAAAGTATTGTGAGAGTTGAAAGATGCCTTGCAGAGTTTTTTTTTTGTTTTTTGAATATTGCTTTCCAAAGTAGTTTTATGTAGCCATGCTTGTAAGGGAATGATAGTGGGTTCGCCCTGTAACCAAACTTGGTAGGAACACCATTTTCCCCTCCCCACCCGCCTCCATATGAAAAAAGAAAAAGAAAAAAAAGAATTACCAGGCAAAAAGAAAAAAGTTCCAAATCATTCTCTCACACTCCAAAAATAGCTTCCTCAAAGAAATCAATTTGGAGCTTCACATTCACCTCTACCTCAAAATCTGATCTGCATTGTCCATTTCAATGGATGGTATATCTGGGGGATTTGGAGGTTTTTGACAAATCCTAACCAAATTGAGGTGATTGATTTTGAATTGATTTTGAGGGGTCTTGCAGAATATTTGAGCCCCCACCATGCCCCACCAAAAAAAAAATAAAAACCTCAAAACTGGTGTTTGAGGTAAGGATACACCAAGTTTCATTCCCCTAATTATAAACTGGATAACAATGAAAGAGAAACAATACAATAACAAAGAATGCTTGTGCTTGAAAAGAAGCTTCTTGGTATGCTTACATCTAGCTAAAGATGGGTGTATGAACTGGGCTGGTGGGAAAGTGGAAAATAGTTCTGGAAAGAAATTCTCCTTCCTGGGTGGTGCTCCCATGCTCAACAACAGTGGTTCTTGGGAATGCTATTGGTATTTTTCATACAGAGGCTTGGCATATAGAGAGCTAAGTGGCATTTACATTTTTCCATGTGTATACACATATTTTGTTGTTTCTCTTCTCAATTACATGCATGTGGTTTATTATGTGAACTATTGATGATAGCTTGTGCTAGTTTGAATGCCGTATATGGTATTGTGCCATACGAATTCACCACGGTGATCATGGTTTTGGTTATCAACTCCCATGACTTTTGCAAATGATTGAGTTGGAGACATATGGTCAAATCTGACCAGGAGTCTCGGATGGACTCTATCATGTGACATGTTGTTCATACAGAATCCCTGTCCTTCGTAATTTTATCGCATGTTTTTTTTCAGGGTTGATTCTGTTTCTGTTCTACCTAGTTCGTTTGGGATACAGGATGCTGCTCAGCTTTTGTTACTCAGTCCTTTTGTTCAGAGTGCAGTAAAGGTGAGCTTCCTAAACACTTTTCTCTTGTCTTCCAGTTACTTTTTTTGAGTACTTTCAAAGTTGTGAACTAATTGTTTCTTGAATTATGCTTCCTGCAGTGTGGCAAGGCAATTGTTGTGGGTGAGACATGCATTTCAAGTACTAAGTTCATTTCAGTAAGCATTTATTAATCCTCCCATTGTACTTCTGTACAATGTCTTGTAACTATATTATGTTGTCCTTGCAAGTTCCCAATTTGTGGTCATTGGGATGTTCCTTTGTGTGAATGTATTCATTGGAAATATACATGGAAAATCTGACTTACAAATTCTGATTCTGCAATAATAGTTTTTAGCTTCTATCACTCTGTTGTCACTCATATTTTGCTCAAATGCTATAAAATTCGGGTTATATTTTGTTTGTGCGTGATTGCATTTCTAGGTGTTGCTTCATATACGTGTATATATGTATGTATGTATCTATGCATGTAGTTTTTGTGGAATTAATGTATACAGAATCAATTTCAGGAAACCCTGACCAGAGGTAGCATGGCTACGCCATTTTCAAGAACAACGAATGAGGCCCACAACACCATGTAGCATAAAGAAGCACTTGAAAACTTTAAAATCCGCTAAAAAAGATCTCCAATTTCTCCAACGAAGATTTGATGTGAAAACTTGGTACTAGTAGGTCACTGTGGCTGTAACATTGGTGAGAAGTTCATGATTGTGGCCCCATGTGCTGAGAAAATATGCCTAAAAATATTACAGAAAGTTATGATTATTTTAAAGTGCAACTAATCTCTAGTTTTTTGGGCTACTTACAGTGATAGCATTTGAACTTGAGATGTTGTATTCGTTAACATCATAACCTCTATAGCTTAAACCTGAATCCTGGACTTAATGAATCTCACTGAGTACAAAATTCACTATCAATCAAAGGAAGTTGGATCTAGGCTGATGTCTATTGTATCTGCGTGCAAGAAGTTCTCACCTTTTTTTCATGTCTCTTACTTGCAGAAATCGTCGATACTTGAATCTGTTTATGCATATATCATTTTTTCCGTAAAGGTTGGTGTAGTTTGTGTTTATTTTTGTAATGTGATTGGGATTTGTTTTGTTAGGGATCAGAAGAGTTAGTTCTCTTAATTTTGTAGAGATTCTAGGGGTAGTTAAGGCATTTGTTTCTGAAGAGATTTTGATGGCAATTATGTCTTTTATTATTTTGGAGATTATTAGGTGTTGTTTTTTTATAAATATATGGTTTATTGTAATGAAAGTGGAGGAGAAGATGGACTGAGGTTTTATGGATTTTGTGAAAAGTTCTCTGGTGATGAGAAGAGGGGGACAGTGATAGAGTGCTGCAGAAAAAAATGAGGTTCGGAGCAAGAAAGATCAAAGATAAAATGCGGGGAAATGAGGGTAAGAATTAGAGACTCGACAAGGGCAAATGCCCTTGTTGACTGGTAAACGTATTTGAAGGAATTGCTATTCTTTTGAGCAGTAGAGATAGAGTTTTGACATATTTGTAGAGAGTTTATGAACTGCAGATACAATCCATAGATTGAGATGAGTGTCATACTCGTTATATATTTGGGTGATGTAAGTTTTGTGAGTACATTGCTTTCTGGTCTTCAATTTTTGTGAAGAATCTATTCATTGTATATGAAAAAATGCAGTTTACAAGAACATTTTTGAATCCATAGAATCAAGCTAATGTTAAAAACAAAGGAAAGACATTAATAAAAAAAGAAGAAGAAGATAAGATCTCTGGGGGTGTATTTCCTTGGAGGTATTAGAGAGTGGACAAAATATCAATTCTCCGTACATCGAAACAGTATTGGAGCTTAGGAGATACAGTATGATGCCACCAAAGCCACATCCAATATAAACGTTGACAAGACAGATTCCTGTATTGGAACATTTCGATCAAATGCAAGAGAGATTTCTGGAGAATTTGAGAAAAGGAATCTAGAAATAATTGACAAATTTAAGTTGGACATGGAAAAAGAATGCCATGATGATGTGGATCTGATCAAATCATGAATTGAACTTCATGAACGCTGATAGACAATCTGATTGTAATGCATGAAACACTAGTAGTTGAGTGTGCAGGAGGTTATGGCATCAAGATTGATGTCCAAGGTTTACATGCTTTTGTGGTTATGCTGCAGTTTTATGGAATCAAGCCCAACCATCACAATTTTTATGTGAAAAAGATAATTTCATCTAATTGCAGCAAAGTGAAGAAGACGATGAAGGAAAAATATTGGATTCCTTAAGCTCCAGGACGTTCTTCTCCCATCCAACAAAGTGAAGAAGACAATGAAGGGAAAACATTGAATTCTTTATGCTCGAGGATGAACATTGAATTCCTTAAGATCAAGGATGATCTTCTCCTATCCCTAGGAGAATGATGTAGTTGGGGTTTTTGCTTCTGATGTAGTTAAGACTTGTTTTGTTAGAAATTAGAAGGTTAGTTTGATCTTTTAATTTTGTAGAGATTTTAGGGGTATTTAACTCATTTGGCTTTGTAAAGATTTAAGGGTCAATTATGCCTCCTATTAATTTAGAGATTTTAAGGTTTGAGGGGTTTTTCTTTATAAATATGTGAATTATTGTATTGTCAAGAAAGAGGCGGATCTGATGAATTGAGTTTTTTTGGATCTTATGAAAAGATCTCTTAGGTGGAGTGCCTTGCAGGTCTAGAGGACCAAGTCTCTCAACCTTTGGGATGGTCTCCCTGTTCATACCAAGAAAGAGCCGTAATTTCTCCATTTTTATTTCTATTTATGTAGTATTAATTTTCATCTTTCCTGATACATAAAAGTTCCACAGTTATTTTTCATGTCTGTTCAAGATCACAACCGATTGGCTTTTGTTATCCTATTGATCACATGCCAAAGGTCTGTGTCATGTCATAGTAGTTTTTTGTTCCTTGCATGCCACTTACTTCGTGCTAGTCACATTTGAATATATGAAGATAATTTCAGATGCGTAAAGTTGAATTGTAAGCCATAATTCTGTACTATTCTTGAGAATCATGCAAGGCTGGTTTTCCATAGTGGTTTTTTTTTTTTTTTTGAATCCGTCTTCCTTAGACGGAATGGCTTTGCTACCAAGTTTTCTCTTCTTCTTCTTCGTCTTCTGTTTATTTCTTTTTTTTGGCTTCTTTTATAATTCATACGAAAATAGAGTACATCTTGTTGAAATTTGTAGGCTCGTACTTGTGAAGGGGAATGAACGAACTTTGAAAAGGGTCACAAGGGTTGGATTTTGCCAGTAACCAAGAATAGTGTCTTGAATATGCTTCGGAATAGACTTTTTGCGAAGCACGATGAATGAAATCTCTATCTATTTGCATGGCACTTTTCTCTTCCATTGTATCATCTAGACATCTAGGAAACGAGGATTGCTGTGGCCCCCAATGTATCCCATTTATTGAATTGCCCTCTATAATCAAAGGTCCCGGCCAAAACTGTAGTTAGATGCTGATGCTTTTGAGATTTAGCCCAAGTCTCCGTTGAATTAGTGACACCAATGATTCCTGGAAAGATCGTATGAATATCTCGCAAATGGTTTCTTTGGTCCCAGGCAATGTTACATAGATATGATATCTATAAGTGTCAAAAGTGTCTAGTATAAGGAAAAAGAAATCGGTACTTTGAAACATGTCTATATAGTGTATTATTCTTTCCATATATATAATAAATTTTCAAAACTTTACAAATATGATGAGTACCTACACGGTAGTGCATGTTCCTTTCAAGTTGATAGACAGAGCGAGAGATCCATGGTTCAAAGCCTAAGGCGTGCTTTACTTTTTTGTCTATTCTTTTGTGGAATACAAATATATATATATATATATATATGGTTCAAAGCCTAAGGCAAGGATACCAATTTACAAAGAAATCTGTTCCAGATAACTAAGATCGTACTCAACGGGAATTACAGAAAAGAATGGAATATTGCGAAGTGTATAAGTGGATGCCATGAAAAACGAATAGTCATTTAAGGAAAGAAATCTGCTTGTAGTCGGCCCGTAATGCCTCTTTCATTATCCTTTCCTACTTCCAGCCCAACCCTGAATGCCTACAAACTAGAAGCTAGCTGCCAGAAGCTCACCCCTTTTGTCTCGCTTCCAGCTCAAGAGGTCAAGCCTTCTGCCAGATGCCTTGGCCTTGTAGCTCTATTCGCCATTCGCCTTTAGTACTTCAGTAGCTCTTCAAAGCTACCTGATAGATCTCCTCGTTGTTGATTGGAGATTTGAAACAGATATTAGAAAAAACGATTGCTTAATTATAGTATTGATTTGGAACATGTATATTTTGTGGTAACTGCGTCGAGTATTGCCCCACATGAGCAAACCTCTTCGAGGCCGCCTGGAAGAAATCCGTATCTGCTCTCTATTGCAGGTCAATCCTGCTGTACTAGCACCAATAGGCAGCATAGGGAAGAAGCATTACACCTAGAAATCAACAATATAAAATAAGCATGCCATTGCCTATGTATCAACGTTCCAACAAAAATACCTGTTTGCATAAAAAACCTCAGGTTTATCAGGATAAATATGTTATAAAGGGACAAGTCTTGGCGGATGGCGCGACTACAGTTGGTGGGGAACTTGCTTTGGGAAAAAATGTAGTAGCTCATATGCCATGGGAAGGCTCAATTTTGAAGATGCATTACTAATTAGCAAATGTCTGGTATACGAAGATATTTATACTTCGTTTCACATCCGGAAATATGAGATTTAGACTCATGTGATAAGCCACTGCCCTGAAAAGATCTTTAAGCCACTGCCCTGAAAAGATCTTTCTCCATAACTATGTTATCATACACAGGAATCCCCTCGTTAGCCGGCTTTCGTAGCAAATTCTAATTCTTCTTTGCCGCTTTGGATTGTGGGGCTTACTTCCTAGCCCCGGTGGCAGTAATGACTAGCCTTATAGGTTGTTGGGTGGCGAGAAGGTTGCAATGAGTAAGTAAGTGTGGGGGACTGAAGGCAGTTCTCTGTGCTCTGGACACATAGCTTACCTAATTAGTTGTGACGTGCATGCTACGAATGAACAGGTCTGGTCTTATACATCAAGAACTCTATATCTTTGTACGAGTTCACAATCACTACATGGGATGAACCTGGGTTTGGTGAATCGAAGTTGGCCTTAGCTGTAATA